TGAATTGTGTTGGAAAAAGACAATCACATGAAGGAGTGGCTTTGAGAGAAAACTAAGAGCAGCTCTTTTGGAACACCCTTATTGAAATTAATTGAAGAAATATATATTGAGCAAGAAGGGCTGCCAGACTGTGACAGACTTCTAAAATGTGTTCTGGCAAATTTGTGTGTGGATAAGGAAGAGGCTTGGTTCTGCTGCTTGCTTTGGTTCAGCTTAAGGAGCAGGAAGAAATCCTCAGTGTTGGGTGTGTGTATGGGGGCAGTGGGGTGCAAAGTAGGTGGAAAGGGGATGGAGGAAGAAGGAACTGACTTGGCTTCTACACTTGCATTTCCTCATGGCACAAAGGAATGCACAGAGTTTGGATGCAGAGATGCACAGCTGCAGGTCAGGAGGAGTGAGAGTGCCCCAGCACTGCTCACATCTGCCCCTCACTGAAGCACTTGGATTTCTCTACTGGTGCCAGGGAAATGTTGGTAAATTTAATTTAGAGCCTCTGAACGCTATAAAATCCGTCATGATGGGGTTTTGGCAGTTTGTAAGAACTTGCAAATTGCAGAAACAATGTTATTGTTCCATTAGGCACTTGGGTCTGTGCGTGAATGTAACAGGAAAACTCTGCTCTGAGTAAAAAGAGACTATAAAAATAGAAGCATGCGGTATTAGAAAAACAGTCCTTTCTTTCATCCTCAAAACTACAGAAGGAACTGAATATTGGTGGCCAGAATTCTTGGAAGGCTGAGAGAACAATCTATAACACTCGAGGGACTTGGTAGTCACAGGAAGATAAGGGGGAACCCCCTTAACAGTTCCATCAGAATTCCCTGCCTGGCTCCTTCTCTTTGGCTGCTTCTCCCTAGGGGTCTGCATCTTATCTCACTGCCTTCCTTTCCTCTTTTGCCTCTGACTAATGGGCTTTGTCTGCTGGTTACTGGAAGTCTAATAAGTTCTTTTGTCTCTTAACCCTTCCTCCTTTTTAAAAATACTAGATTAATGGCTGTAATGTTTTGCAGACTATCTGCATTGGTGACATGGATTAATTGTGTGCTTGACTCTTAAGTTACCCAGCAGTAATGACATAGTAACTTGACTTGAAACAATGGTAATTTTATGGCAAATGTTCAAGGCAAATGTTGCCTTCTGGTAAAGTGCCAACTGCAATTTACCCCCTGTAAACATGTGACACAAGTAAACTGGCTGTGCAGATTTTCTCTGTGTCTTCTGCACAGTAAGTTGTCTTTTGAAACACTCAGAGATCTCTCTTGTCTCCTCCCCCCCCTTCTTTTGACTCTCCCTTGAGTCAGGTAATTACAGATCTGGGCTGAAACCTTCCCAGGGAGGGATCAGGAAAGCCAGGACTTGCAGAGCTGCTCCATTGCTCACTGGCACCTTGGCTTCCCCTTCCCTGGGAGGGTTTGGGATGCACTGGGCTCTGGGTGAGTGAGCTGGAGAGCCAAGGGCAGCTCTGCCTGCCCCTGCACGAGTGCCAGTGCTCTCTGTGGTGATCCTGTGTGGCTTTGGTGTGATGGTGTGGTGATGTGTTTATATTCTGATCTCAGTGCTCACCATAACAGAATAAGAAGTCAAAGCCTCTTGCCTAAAAGATAAGCTGAGAACTGACCCATTTAGGTCTCCATTTTATCCATGTGTCTTGGGGAGCTCTCTGGTCCAATGCTCTGCCTCTAAAAGAAGCAGAAAATCTGGATTTTAGTTAAAGGTTATTTCATTGCAATATTTTGCTGCCAGAAGAATGACAGTTAGGGGACTACTCAGATGTAAGTATTAAAGAACTCTTTCACAGAAGTAGCAATACTGTAGAGAAACCAGCAAAAGCATAGGTGGTGAGACAGGATTCCAGTAAAGAGAGTAAGCTTGTGTAATCTTCTAGTATCTCAGAAAGAATAGTGATAAATGCTGTTCTGTCTACAGCATCTGTTTTGTGAAAGACAAAACTTACTTTGAAAAATGTGAGAATGCTGTTCCTGACCTCCTGTCACAGTTTGTTATTCCCACAAAGTCAGACTGCCAGAGACAGTATGACAGTCATAGTTGTTTGTTGTCTCACTTTTCCTGTTTAGTGAACAGAAGTGGGGTTTTTTTTAACCAAAAGGATTATGTGCTCCTGAAATACACCAGTCTTATTTTTGCATCCGTGTAGTAGCAGAAAGTGACAGTTTTTAGTTCTTTCTTTGCATTTTTTTTGTGTGTGGTGCTTTTTCTCCTGCAACTTTGGAATTTGTAATGCAGTCAGACTTATCCTTTTGTTTTAAAATTGAAAGGGAGGGAGAAAATCATCTTAGCACCTATGATTATGGGAGGCACATGTAGCTTAGTAATAGACTCCCAAACACAAATGTCCTAGCTCTTGGTTTTGGTCATGTGCTGACTGTTCAATATTTTCATTGCCAATGCATCTGTACAGAAAGCCTTGAGTATTCTGGATCAGCTGTAAATGGGTGGCTGGAGTGCCAAGGGTCTGATGTATTTATTCCACTTCCAGCAGTTACCTGTGCTTGGAGTTAGTGATTGTGTCTCATGGAGCACAGGACAGACACCTACACACCTGGTCTCTTGTGGGCACAGGATGTCAGGAGAAATCAAGAATATGTGAAAACTTATCAAAAACAAATGTGTGTTGGTTGGAGCTGCCACCAGATTTCTCAAGGAGAGGTGAGAGGCTTTGTTACAACTGCTGACCAAGTCTGAGTGCTCAGAGGAGCTCCTTTGAAGCTGCTGATACAGTCAGCATCAAAATACTGCAGCATCCTTGGTACAGTGGGAAATGTTGGTGTTGTTCACTGAAATAGGGAAGTTGGAAATCAAATCAGGAGAGAGAATTAGGGTTCTGCAGGTGGCTGTGTGTATTTTGTGCTTTAGAAACTGCAGTTTGAAAATCCAAGCATATGCTCTTAAGGCACTTTCATATGTCAGTGCTTTCACTTAGAACAATTTGTTGTACATAACTTAGATATGATTCCAGTATTTCTGTGGTCAGCTGGTACTGAAGTTCCTACACAACTGTGTGCAGTGAGTGATTCTTTTGGCTGGCAGCCTGTAAACTGTGTTACACCCCCTGAGACGCCAGTGGGCCTTCTGTAAATTCCTTATGAGCATCTGCTGCCAGCAGGGATCTTATGAGGTGGTCTGGCTCTTGTCTTCAGACTGTCCCTGCAGTGTTAGGTGCTGTGTGGGCACTGCTCTCACTGCTGCTTTCTGCTGGAGAAGGGAGACTGATAGCCAGAGCTGCTGGAAGGGCTTCCTTTTCTTGTGTGACTGCTGGCTTTTCTTCATTGTTGAGAACAGCAAGAAATGTGAAGTTATTCACTTACTACAATTAGTTTAAAGCATATCCTATTATTACAGGAGTCATATATATCTGAATTATATTCAGCTGAATGTAATTGGTGAAGGCACCTCAGACACTTCAAGGTGAAATCTGATAGCTGAACTCAGTGTAGAAGAAAATCTGTGCACACTTAGCTCAGTTTAAAAGTAAATGTTTTTCTTTCCATAGCCAAGTAGATTGCAGACTGAGGTGGTTTTTCAAAGTTATTCTGGTTTGGCTGCAGAGAGTTGCAATTTTCTGTAGGTTAATTTGCAGAATGGATTGAGCCAGGGTAAGGTAAATATTTGTAGCACAGCTACTTTCAGATGCTTTCAGTGGGATGCATCTCTGTCAAATACCCAGGGGCTGTGGGTTTTTTTGGTCCCATAATCTGCAGTTTTGCTGTAGAGGTGTGAGCTGGTTGTGTCAGCACAGAGTAGCTCTTCCCCTGGCATGAGCTGCTTTAATTATTCATAATACATACTGAGGTGTTAAAGGTCTGTCATGCTGTGCAAAAGTTACAGTGTACCCTGGAAAAATACTGAAGGATTATTCTTTTACAACCCTTTGCACATGAAAAGGGAAGAAACACACAAACTCTCATTCGAAGATTATTTGCTTTTTTTGTACATGCTGGACCTTTTATGGCCTTTGACAAGGATCCTGAGGGAGAAAGGGAATATTGGTAGTTTTAAAATGGATGGAGATAAATTGCTCAGTGACTGAACCTTTGTTTTTTGAAGGTGGTTGAATTATGTGCAGTGAAATAAATGAGTCTGTTCATGTCTGAGTGTGTATGAGGTAGGGAATTGAATGGAATCTGATTTGGGTTCTGGTTTCAGGTTTACTTAAAACTGATGGCATGATCTTGAACAGCTCTGTTATTTGGCTGTCTTGATTTCCCCTCTGCCCATTGTCTTGCTCATAGCTTAAATAGACTTCTCAAAACAAGTACTGCTTGCTGCTTGAATTAGTTCATTAATTTATTTACATTACAAAAGCACCTGAAGGCACCCTGCTAAAATTATATTCTGTTTAGCTAACCGGACTTGAGTTTGTTCTTTGAAAATACAATAATCCTAACAAATCATTCCACCCACCTAATAAAGAAAGATGAAGCACATAATAGGAAACAATTGAAAACTTTTTAATGGGGCCAAGTGGAAAAACAATGAGAAGTAATCAGTAAGAAAGGTATTGTGTGGTTAGAGAAGGTAAAGGGAAGGGAGGGATTGGAGGGTGATGCATTTGTGTCTGCTGAAAAAGCTACTTAAGGAATAGATCTTCCATAAGAAAAAGCAGTAAGGTGCTAAAGTCTTTCTCTGCCTCTCATTTTTCACGTTATTATTTATTTTTCTTAAGCTAGCCTTACACAATTGGCTGCACACAGTGAACTACAGATCTGAAGCATCTGTTCCACTTTTTCTTGAGGCTACTTGTTGAACTTTGACCATGAACTGTGGTGTCATGCCCTGTGGGTGCCTGCAGAGTCAGGTGCTCTGCAAGAGTGCAGCAAGCAGGTTTCTTCTGCCCATCCTGAATGGAAAAATCTCCTTTGATGAGTAAGCTCTGGACTTGGGGTGACATCATACCAGGTCAAGGCTCAGGTGTTGCAAAGAGACTTTTGCCTGTGTCCTGGTGATGGGGGGGTTCCTCTGGGGGGAGATTTGGTGACAGCTCTGATTCGTGGCCCCGAGACCTGGCCCAACATGAGGGACTGTAAATATGGTGAAGTTGTTTCTGATTCTTTTTTTGTACCTGGCCTTCCCTTCTAAAGCAGTTAAATCTTTCCAGTGTGCCCTTTCTCAGAGAAATCCACTTCTCGTTTGAGAAAGTCTCCAGGCCTCCAACAGAGCTGTTGCCTGCCTTGGTTCTCCCCTGGACAGCCAGGTGGCAGCTGGAACTCTGCATGGTTCCTTTTCAGGTGTCTGTACAAGTAGCTTCTACTCTGTGCAGGCATGTTCTGTAGACACAAATTTTACCCAGTTTGATCACGTTTTGTTTCCAAAGCTCAGACTGAGGTTAATCAGAAATAGTTTTGTTATCTTGTTTTGGAACAGATTGGTACAGTTCTCATGTATCTGCCCACCAAACCATTACTGTCTGCAATTCATTGAAAGGTTCTTCAACTGCAGGAAGCCTCACAAACTAATAATTCAATTTAACTAATTGCAGCAGGACTTTCCTGCTTTTAGACTTCCTCTTGAGTAACTTTGCATAAAAGTATTTGTGGAGCAGATCAGGGTGACACAGGTGCTAGCACAGTGCTGGGTTGGGGCTGTGGTGAGCTGTGTTCTGGGCTCCTGAGACCCCATCGTGGGCCATGGTGCTGCACTCAGAGGGCTTCATTGCAGGTTCAGACTTGAAGTAAGCAGTTTCTGGAACATGCTGCCTTTGACTGAAGTTTGGTTTGTGCTGTAACACTTGGTGCTGTGGTGTAGAGCTATGAACTGCACAGTGAAAGCTTTCACACAGAGCTGATCCTTTCAATTCCTGCCTGCTGAAGAGGGAAACAATACCATTGATCTTCACAGATTTGCAGGGGAGCAAAGAAAGTTGCTTTTGGTGAGAGGGCTGCCTGCTCTTACCTCTGGGAGAGCTGCTGGGGGTGTGCAGGGCCTGCACTGATCCTCCTGCCCAGGGCTCAGGAGAGCCAAGTCCCAGGGGTTAGCACAGGTGTGAAAGGAGCCAGGTGAGCACAACAAAGGCCTCCATCATCCCAAGGGCCCACACGATTCACTCCCCATGGGCTGCTGAGGGTGCTAATGAGCAGTGCAGGCTGTTCATGAGTTGTGTGCAGTGGTGGGGCTGCACAGCAGCACAGGGAGAGGGCTGTTGGTGACACAGCCTGCAGCTGCACCCTGCAGCTCTGGCCCAGGGACTGAACAAACCTGTGCCAAAACCTCTGCCACCACCGTGCTGGTGCTTCTCTGCCCCCTGCCCTCACTGTGCACCATTCAGGATGAAGTCAGTGCATTGCTGGGCTGTGACAGCCTTTAAATGCAGCCTTGAAGAGCTTTACCTTTTAACCCATACTAACTTTTTGTTCCATAGCCCATGATTGTGTTGTCAAAGTTTACACATTCTACTACCTTAAAAATTTTGAAAAGGTTAAATGGACAACTCGCAAGAATTTAAATATAAAGAAAGGGGAAGAATTGTAGCTGGAGGTTCTAGCATATTAAAATTTCTGGCTCCAGTCAGTGTGTGTGTGTGTGTATAGGTCAGCCAGCATAGAAATTACTTCAAACAACCTGAAAAAGTTTGGCTTTTGCTGGGTAAGGCTGATCTCCATCAGATTCAGCTTCTTTTGAACTTGAAATGAGTGTTTGCTTCCAGAATGTGCAGTAAGTCAACTGGAAATGTAGATTTGGTGGCTCATGGGATCATAGATCTCTTCCAGTGAAATACAGTTACGTTTGAAAAGTAGTTCATTGCAAAAAGTTGCCATGACAATGATTTTTGAAAATGTGAACTGTAAAATGTTTAAACAGGTTCCTGGGGAATGAGGTTGCACAGCACCCTGTGTTCCTCCCTGGTGATTTATGAAAGGAATTATTTAGATGCAGGAGGCCAAATGAAATTAACACAGATGTGCCAGATGCTACATTTTCTTAAATTCTTGAAATTCATGGGATGCTGTGGTCAAATAGGAAGAAATTCAAGCTGGTACTTCTGCCCTGAGAGGGGCAGACACTCCTCTGCTCCCCTGCATGTTGAGCTGCCTGTGCACCCACTGGAGTGTCTGCTGCAAGAGCTGTGAAGCCATGGAGGAGGGAAAAAGGGTGGTTGCTTGTGTGGAAAATGAGGTTTGGGAGCAGACTATATAAACCCAGTGTGAAGTAGACTTTTTGGTCTCCATCTCAACAGTAAAAGCCTAAAAATGATTCAGTGGAAATATATTTTTGCTCTGTGTGTGTATATGAGTGAAAGTACCACTCCAGACTTTCCAGGCATTTTGAAATGTTTGAGGCTTTTAAGCTCTAACAACAGCTTTGGTCTGAACTAGGTTTTATGTGTCAGTCAAATTTTCCTAATCCACATATAGGATTCAGGTTTGGGGAAAACTCACATGGAGATTGGCATGTGTGACAAGATGTTGTTTCATGGTTGTCTTTCTACATTCACCCCCCTCTTTGTGCTGAAGGAAGCTCTGAACAAGCTAATGTTTCTACTTGTTTCCTCAGAAGTAAATCTCCTGTAAAAGGTAAGTATGCAGCAAGGCAGCTTTTGATCACCTGTCTGCTCCCTAGATGTACTAAGAGCTGTAAAAACGAGATGTTTTAGTGTTTATGTTAGTATGGTAGAGCAGGGGAGCTTTGCCAGAGATTTCTTGTTTGTTGTGTTTTTCTACTAGATCAGATACAGAGGTGTTGATTAGGGGCTGCAGCTCTTGCTCCCCAAAGCAGACATACCTTTGTCTGTCCTCTTCAGAGCTTCCTCCTTACACAGCAGAGCTGGGAATTTAAGAGAAGTGAAGTGGAGCCAGCTCGACTGAACATGGGAAAACAAACATGGAAAAGAATGTGCTAGAGAATGAAAAAAGAGAATTACTCTCCAGACCCAAATTATGCTTTGCTAGGTAGCAGCTGTCTGGCATTCACAGATTAAACAGTGCTCAGCTAACATGCAGTGACAGTGATAGCATGTCCTCTGCTTTGCTTTGAGTGCATCAAATGAGGAATTAACTCTCCCATGCTGAAAGCCATGAAAGTATCTGGAAGTGTGTATTTACTGCAAACAAACATTTGAACTTGTCTGTTGTTTTCAGTACCTGTTCTATGGTTTATATGACAATGCAGAGTTAATGGTGTTAATGCTACTTTGTAAGTCAAAAAAATGAAGTAATTTTTCATAAAATGACTCTTTGAACAAATGGAGTTTGGCTCTGAAGGGTTTTATTACATGCACAGTTGGTTCTCAGTGATCTGGTGCATTTCATGGTTTTCATAGCCTCTTCTAAAGGTAAAGATTTGTGTGGTCTTTTGTCTTCCAGCATTCTATGTGGAAGCCAGGGAGCCTGAAGGAAGCTGTGAAGCTAGTGGAATGATTCCCTGTGTTGCTGAAACTGTGTAAGTATGAGATGTTTGCTCACAAGATCACTTGTCCAGCACAATTGTCAGAGCAGCAATTTTTTCTGCTTCAGCAGTGGCAGCGATCCTCTCCTGCCTCCCCATTGGGAAGCTCTGTATCTGTTCAGGGCTGCAAACAGGCAGGGCATCCATGATGCTGTTCCCTACTCTCAGCTGTTTTTAAAGTCATGTGTCCCCAGCCATTAAAAGGTAGAGAATGCACAGTGGAGTTCTGTAAAATTCTTAGACTATGCTCAAGTGTTTGTGAAAAGCTGAGGCTGAGTTGAGGCTTAGTTAAGCTCTAGTTATGTTGTCTTTGCCTTAGCTGGTGAAATGCTACTTGGAAAGGGATTTAATGGTTGGCTGAGCTGTTTCCCCTTTTGTTATGAGATTTCCTAAATTTGTCTTTGAGGTCTTCTTAAATGTATGGAAAGCTTTTTCCTCTACTCTCTTGATACTTTCTGTGTTTTGAAACTCATTATAAATACCTTCTGATGCAACACTTTATTAAACAGCATGATGCTTGTTTTGCTTGTTATTCTCTGGACATATGCAATAATTTCCATTACTACAATAACATCAGTCATTATAGAAAAATACTGGGTTACTTAAATATCTCCTTTGCATCTTCTCTCCTCCTGCCAGCTTCCCCCCACTCTTCATTACTGCTGTTTTCAATTGTACCACAGTGTGCTTGTATGATTGAGAGTTATTACTGAGTCACTTTGTTTTGCTCCCTTCAAATTTTGGGTTATGTGTGATCTGGTCACTTGAAAATGGAGGAAAAATGCTGCAAATTCCTTACAGGACTTAGAAAAAAGTCCCACACAAAACCCCCACCAAATCAAAAAGCCCCCCAAGCATTAGCCAAGGCCTTTGTAATCTTCTCTAGGTTTTCATTTAGTGTGTGGGGCCATATGGCTCTGCACAGCCTTTGTTCTTAGAGGGTGACTTTGTTTTAGCTGGCTGTATTCAGCAGCACTCATCTTCCTGTGTTCCCAGCTGCTGACTCCTTTCTGGAAAGGTGCAGAGAAGGTCATTGTGGATCTGTGCTTTGAAAGAGGAGGATGGCCTCGTGGGCATCTTGGTGATTCATATGTACTGGAGATTATTGCTCAATGCTTTTCTGAGTAATAGACTTCTTTGGGAGCACTGCATCCTGTAGCACTGAGCACATTCCAACCTTAGCCCTGAATCTTGATCCTTTTTAGTAGAATAGCAAAAGCAGTGGTCACTGCTGCCTTTTATGTCTTGCTTTTATGCTGTACAAGCCTCTTAGTAATTTTGCTCTTGGGAACTGATCCTTTTGGGAATTGATGCTTTGCCACCAATCCAGCTAACCTTTGGGTACACAATATCCTTGTAGTTCCTGATCCAGCTGGGAAATCTCTGTGCAGGTCCTTGTGCTGTGTGACAGTCACTTTGCTCTGCAGCTGAACCCACAGCTCTGTTCACCTTCCTGAGGGTGCTCTCTCCCACTCCTTGAGCTCTGCCTTCCCTGCAGCTCCTGGTGCTGCAATCAGATCCCCTCTCCAGCCTTCCATAACAAAAGGGCGGCTTCTCCCACTTGTTTCTGTCTCCTTCCAAGGCTCTTGTTCCTTTCATGCCTTGAAACCTGAGTCACGTAGGAAGCGGAGGTGACTCGTTAGTGAAGAGGATCCAGCTCACGAAGGCAATTTACAGAGGGTAACTGATGGAGTGCCAGAAGACTTTTCTCTTACAAAACCAGATACATGCACAAGCTGCCAGCGGATGCAGTCTGGATTTTTTTTTTTTCCAAGCTGGTTTTGCTATTTTTGGGGTAGAATGCTTCTAAGTATCTGGCACATGGCATCAAGTTTCTTGTAGAAGAAAAGTGAGGAATTGCAGCAACTGTACATCAGTATCTTGTGGTGTTTGTTCATAAGGAGTAGGATGGTGCTCTGAAAACTTCCTTGGTGGGGAGGAGGAAGGAAGAGCTCTGTGACTGCAGGGAAGAGCAGTGCTCAGGCAGTGGCTGTTCAGGAGCAGCACTCAGCTCTTTGTAAGGCAAGTAGGAGTACAGAAAATGTGTTTGTCAGAGGGGTACAGTGTGAGGGAGGTGGATAACTTGCATCTAGGGGTTAATGCCACTGGGATTGCCTGCTTTTGGAAACTGCCAGTGAAACACCTCCTTACATACAGGTGTCTGATAATGGTGGCAGATCCTCCCTCTGTGAATTGTAGTGCTCTTTTTGTGACAGCAAATGACTTTCAAACCCATCAGTTTCATCACATTGGTGATGTCACTTTGCAAACCTGCAGATTAGATTGTTATCATCAATAATACAAGCTGTTGCTTAGGGAGCATGACAGCATGAGTCACTTTTATTAGGAAAATGATGGACACGGGATGTCAGTCTTGCAAACTGCCTTTAAAAAAAAAATCAAATTGGGATTCCTCAAGTGAATTGGATTAATCTGTCAATTACAATGTGTGTGATTTGACTACTTTAGAGGAAAGTACTGTTCACTAATAGGCAGCTGTTCCTTAACCTTCCCCCATAGGGAAAAGCTGTTCCAAATCACCAATAGCTAATAACTACTGTTACCTCTTTGAGCAGAAAGTTGTCTATACTACCTAAACTCTGCTTTAAACTCTAATGCTAGTTTGTACTTGGTATTTTTTATTCTTTTCTTTTAGCTGCATTCTTCTCTCTAAAGAAAAAAGTGTCCAGTGTGGTGCTAGCTGCCTCTGAGAAACTGATGGAAGAACAAGAATTAGTGTAGATTGAGCATTTGAATTTGGGTGAATTTAAAGATTGAGAGGGGGAAAGCTGGCATGTGGGAGTTAATCACTAAGCAGTTTTTACACTGCCTACTAATATCCTGTTTGTTTTGGTGTAATGAAATAATGACTGGTGTAGACTGGAGAGGACTGTAGATGTTGCTCAGGCACCTGGCAGCACAGAAATCAGTTCCAGGCTGTGCTTCACAACTCACAGAGCTGTCAACTACTAAGGGCCAGTGAAATTGTCTTATGGATTATTTATATTGACATGCATATTTTTATATATCCTTTCAAATACAAATTATTGCAAATTTCTTGAATACATAATCAGACTTTGCTTGCCTATAAAAATGATGCTGCAAAGTCAATCTTTAAAGCATTGTGATGAAAGAATCTATAATACCTTTGTTCCTTTGACTGCTTAAAAAATAGGTATTTACTAGTTTTGTGTGTGAGTTAAGAAAAGGGACTGGGGAGGAAAAGGGAAGCCAGGTAGTCAACAGCAGTATCTTGGCTGCTGTAGTTCCACTGGCAAAATTTTTTGCTCATGAAGCTGCACAAGTGCTGTTTTGTCAAAACAGGTATAATGGCTGAGAGATTTATTTTTGTAATCCTGATATCTGAGAATTCATCTATACTTGCTGCTGTTGGTTTCCAGCTTTAAAGAGGACTTCAGTCTCAGTAAAGCTTTGCCCAAGAAAAAAATACAGTAAAACTGACATGACATCTATTGTATTTTTTAATTTTTTAATTTTTATCTCTCTTCTTTCTTGTTCTAATTCTAAACTGGAAGCTGTACACAAAGTCTCAGCAAACCCAATTTTTATGTTTGAAGCTTTTGCCTCACTGACAGCAGAGGTGAAATGGAAATTAGTGGGTAAAGGAGGACTGTGATAAGCAATTGCTTTCTTGGAGCTGACATTTCTGAGAAACAGACTGTCCTTGGTGTGGCTGCTCGCTGATAGGGCAGTGTCAGTGTTAGCTTGGTTTTAACAGGGAAAACTGGAGAACCCTTTTCTCTGGGCAAAATATCTTTTCCAAATACGCAGGGCTTTGTGATTTATAAAAAGAGAGTATGATGAAATCATTTTGGCATTTTAATTTTTGTTTAAAAAAACCCCTCTGAACTGGAATTACTACTTCTTATCTGCATGTGTGTCTGTCTGAAGAAGTTTCATTAAGAAGGCCCCCTCCCCTGTCTGTCTCCTTACCTGAAGGGAGGAGCCCACTCGAAACAATGAACAATTTCTGAATACCCTCTTGCATAAGAAGTGTTGCCTCCTTTCTGCAGGCACACTCTGTGTATGTTTTAAGTACAAAACCTAGATTCCAAACTCTGTTTAAAAACAAACACAACTTTCACTCTCTCTCCTCCTCCCCAAAACCAGCCAACAGCCAGCCCCCTCCTCCCCCATCCCTGAGAAGTCCCTTTTGCTGATTTGCTGGAGGTACAGTCGAGGTCGAGTCCTTAGGTCTCTGCCAGGTTGTCCCATCAGTGTCCCTGTGCTCCTTTCCCTGCTTTGTTCCAGTGTTTTATATTCTATATATAAAATGTGGGTATACTTTTAAAAACCATTTCCTTTAAAGTATTTCTGGGTTGGAGTAGTCTGTTGTGATGAAGCCTGTACATGAATCAACCTCTTTGTAACCTATGCTGCAGTAAGAATTTTAGGAATTTCCTTTATTAGGACCTGTTAGTATAGTGTAGCCACTGAGTGTGCTGCATTGATTTCTAGTTAAAACAGCCTGAAATTGCCTGAAATTTATGGCATATTCCAGCCTTGTGTACACTGCTCCTTTTCAGTATGCAAAGCTTAAATATCCTGAAGTCGACTGCTTAATGGCAAATGTTATCCCACATTTAATACTCCAACTATTCTTTACAGAGAGGCAGCAGTTTGACTGTGGAACTGTTTTGCAGGTCAGCTGAGTGCTGCTGATGGCATGGTGAGATGTGTTGAGGAGCAGCTGCGAGGGTGTCCGAGGGCAGGGGGACCGTGCTAGGAGCTGGGCTTGCACCACCATGGGCCAGTGTGTCACCAAGTGCAAGAACCCTTCTTCTACCCTTGGCAGCAAAAATGGGGAGAGAGACTCTGGCAGCAAATCCCACAGCAAGAGAAGTGCAGTCCACAAAGACGACCACGGCTCAGCTTGCGGGAAGGCTTCAGGAGACATTCTTGTGAATGGGACAAAGAAAACAGATGCTGCTGTGGAGTCCAGTCAGCCTCCAACGTTTTCTGGAGATACAAAGAAAGACTCTGTTTGCAGTGCAGAGGAATCTTCTCTTCAGAGGATTGGGGAGTTGTTCAGGAGGTATAAGGACGAGCGGGAAGATGCCATACTGGAAGAAGGAATGGAACGATTTTGCAATGACCTCTGTGTTGATCCCACTGAATTTAAAGTACTAGTTTTGGCTTGGAAATTCCAGGCTGCTACCATGTGCAAATTTACAAGGTTAGTTCTTGTAGAACTTGTAATTATTTTCATATGTTAAAGTATATCCTGTCAGCAGTATGTTGGAGAGACAGCCTCATTAGCTTCACTTACTTATTTCTTCTAACACTTGCATTTTGATCAAATTAATTCCTACCACTGCAGAAGGTAAGCTTTGTATTGTCTTCTTTCCCCTTCCCCTCACACTGGATTTTAGAAAATGTGGTTTTGGCCATTATGCTGCTAGTGATGAACAGTGTAGTGAGATTCTGTAGACATTAATTTATTCTTGATTTACCAGAAGCAATTTATTGTATCCAACATGATCTTGGTGAGATTGGACACTGAAATTAATTTTTCCTTTAAAGTAATGTGAGATTCCTTAGTAATTGCTACTAACTCTGTTAACAGTCTGTGAAAGAATGACAGGATTGTTCCTGTCCAAGCAGTGTAACACTTAATGTCTTTTTCCAAGAGTAATCTTGTTAAAGCATAGAGAGGGAAGGAAATGTGAAGGTTTTGACACTTGTAGCTGTTTCATACTAGCTGACAGATGATTGCAGTTTGAAGTGCTGTGTGCCCTTCTGGACAAGGGGCTCAGTCAGCAGAATGACAGCATGTGTGATGCCACAGGACACAATGGAATGGCTACAGCTCCCCCCACTAAGCAACAGGCAAACCCAAACTGCAGCAGAGTCCCCCAGCTTGATTAGCAGTGTCCAGGTAAGAGCAAGGGAACAGTGCCTACAAGGACTGGCAGGGAGAGAAGGAACTTTTTTTTGCCCTATGTAGATTGGTTTGAGTAATGCTGCTTATTTTTACTGAGCTTATTGCTTTGGTGTTCAGAGCCTTGACCCAGGCCTCTGCTGTGCACTGGACAGCATCTTCAGAGTCTTTGTGGCTGAGGGTGTGTGTCAAAGGGATGAGTTACTCTGGAATGCAAATGTGGATTTACTGGAGGCTGATGACACAGGTATTTGCTAAGATGGTGAAGGAATTGTAAGTAGTGTCTGTGATTCTGCACAGCTACCATGAGTATTATTAACATGGTTTTAATTTCCTCAGAGAGGACAAATCTAGTTGTGAGAGGTTATATTTGTTGAAGGGCACACTCCATGGTACAGGTGCTGATGGATTCTTGTATCAAGGAAAGCATCATGGTCTGTTCTGAGTGCTGCTCCATCTCCTCTTCCCTCCAGCCCATCCTGTGTCAGCCTGCTGGCTCTCCTGGCTGATGTTACACCTGGTTGTTACACCTGGTTGTAACAAGCATCAGAGAAACTGGAGCTAAACCTGTCCCACTTGGATTCAAGCAGTGTCCATACATGGTGCTGTAGCCCCTGTGATGCTGTGCTCCCTCCCCTGCTCTCAGCAGATGCCTTGCTGACTGACACCAGTGGCTCCCCATTGGTTTTGCAGGCTGAAAGAACAACAAAAAACCACAGCAAAAGTAGAAGTGAACTGCTCTGTCCCTTGCAAACAGCTCACTCAGAGCATGAGGATTTAGACATGAGCAGTACTGAATCAAGCTGGGGTAAATGTGTTCGTTTCAAACATTAAGAATTTCTTCTGTGGCAAATTAGACTCACTCTTTAACGTGAAAGGCATTGCAGGATGTGGAAGTGTCCAGAAAAGCCAGAGAGCAGAATCTTTCAAATGTTAACAGTGCCCCAGCAGACCTGGGGGTTGTGTGTGGTTCCCCAGGCCTGAAGGAATGCCTTGGAACTGGCTGTCTTGCCAGTGGCTCCTGTTGCCAAAATCTGTGTGCCTCTGGGGCTGAGGGTACACCTTGTCTTGTCCGGGTGCTCCTCTTAGATTTGGTGTAGCTGGATGGAGACAGGACGTGTTCGTGAGGTCGGTGGGAAGGGCCCTCCCTAATTTCTCTTCTCTTGCTTAACAGGAAGGAGTTTTTTGAAGGCTGCAAAGCAATAAATGCAGACAGCATTGATGGCATTTGTGCAAGGTTCCCCAGCCTCCTAAACGAAGCCAAGCAGGAGGATAAATTCAAGGATCTCTATCGTTTCACCTTCCAGTTTGGCCTGGACTCTGAAGAAGGACAGAGGTCGCTACATCGGGAAATAGCCATTGCCCTTTGGAAATTAGTCTTCACCCAAAACAAGCCCCCTATTTTGGACCAGTGGTTACACTTCCTAATCAAGAACCCCTCAGGAATCAAGGGAATCTCCCGGGACACGTGGAACATGTTTCTAAATTTTACTCAGGTGATTGGACCGGACCTTAGCAACTACAGCGAGGACGAGGCCTGGCCGAGCCTCTTTGACACCTTTGTGGAGTGGGAAATGGAGCGGAGGAAAAAGGAGGAGGAAACCAAAAGTGTTCTGTCCTCGGACACAGAGGGGCCGTGTGCGGACGGACAGACCTAGCAGCAGGGACTAAAGCAGCTCCTTGCCCTTCACACAATGTAAACTCTGGATGTTTCTGGAAATTACCGAGGCTCCAGATTTTTCTACTTTACACCTTTTTCTGCCTTGTCTTTGAAAGGGCTCTAAAATGCTGTATCATGTTTTAGGCACTTTCTTAATTTTGGTTATTCCTTTTACTCTTGCCCTGAAATATTTGACCCTGGCTACAAGTTAAGCATTTTTTTTTATTTTATTTTATTTTTAAGACTTCAGATTAGTATAAGTAAGTCTGATACTTCTTGCACAATGTAGATCTTTTTAGTTAGGTTAAATTAACATTGCTAAATTATACAGTGCCAGATTAAGTTTTTTCATACTACATCTGTCAGGGCAGGTCTGTACTGTGTGTAGTGCTGTTTACATTGTTGAAATTTTAGGCTGTAATAATTTTAAGGTTTTATACCAAGATGAACAGCAGTGTTAACTATAAATGCATTAATCCTGGGTAATAAGGCTCTAAAAACCAACATAAGCAACAGCTTTTTGTAATATGGCTAATTCCCATTTTGAGCTAACTCCTAGTGAATGAGTCCAGATCATTCCTTTTTTGGACTTTCAAACTAAATGTTGGGATTGTTTTATAAAATTACTGTACCTGTCAGTCAACTGAGTGGTAGATGACGATTTATATCTAAATCTCTTTACACATTCACATAATAAAAGAGCAGTACTACCTCAGTTTTATTGAAAGTGGACTTGTTGATGGACTTCCATTTTCTCTGGAAGTTGTATTTTTGTGGTTACATGAGAATATTTTTACTTGACTAAAAGAACCAAAGGTTCTGCTTCTTAAGTTTGCTAAACATTGAGAGAAGCAACACACAAATCCTAAGTCTTCAAGGAAAACTGTGGTATAATTCTGCTTTAATTTGTTTGATTTATACCTAAAGTATTACCTTACTTGTCTGGCAAGCACAGTACTTCTATGTAAGGAACTATCTTTTGCATTAATATTGACAAACCAATTTTTTAAAGCATATGTTTAATTGCTAAATTGCAGTTAATACTCCACACTTTCTGGAGCAACAATATCGGCATCTGATGACAAAGTGAATTCTTAATGTGTTCTTAATGACAGCAGTGTAGATGAGTCATTTTTAGACTGATTTGATAATATTTGGATAGGAGTCAATTTATTATTTTACAATGCCTGTATTGGGACTATTTGCCTGTTGAAATTGTTGTGACTTAAAGGGAGTTTTATTAACACTGGTTGAAACTTTTTTGGTTATTGATGCTACCTTTTTTAATTTTAGTATGTCAACTTTTTTACACCTTTTGGTAAAAGGTTTGATTGCCAAGGCTTTCTGTATAGCCAAGTGCTGGCTTAATGAATTTGATACACTTCTGTTACACACCTTTTATTTTCAAAGCTGCATTTCAGGATCATAAACCAACTGAAAAAACAAAACAAAAGCCTAGACAGACATCCATAGCATCTAATGACTTTTGTGATAAAAGGGTTTTAAAACTAAAGGGAAACAGGTTTTAAGTGGTGAGCTTGTCACAGGTCCAGGGTGTTGTGCTTTGCACATCTGTTGTGCCCCACAGGGGTTAGCAGAGAGAGGAGCAGGATCTACCCAAATTCTGGGTCTGCCTGTGCTGGTGTGCAGCCCTGCAGTGGCTTGGCTTGGAGGTCATAAATCACTAACAAAATGTGGGTAATGCAGACTGTTTAAAAACAAACCCACAAGCCACAGATAGCATCTCTTTCATCTAATAAAAGGAGAGTTTGGTCCATGCTGCTCTTGCTGGAAGACAAGCTGTGGAAAACAAATGTGGCTGTTTTAGATGCCACTGAATCTGTCCCTTTGCAGGAGAGCCCTGAAGTTGCTGTTTTATGGGTAAATACACCCAGAGCTTTGTCCTTGCTTCTCTAACTTTCTGTGGCACAAAAGTGTTTGGCAGCAAAACCTTATTCTGATTTGGTGAGCAAAGCAGCCAAAGCACTCCTGCTGGAATCGTTGAATTTATGGTGAGACTTTTGCTGGTGCTGTTATTTTTAAAAGACTAAAATAAATTCCCCAACAGAGGCTGCTTTGTTAGGAAAAGTTCCAAATGGAGACTGATTTGATAGTAAATGAGGACTGTATTTGTAAGTTTGAGGCTCTTCATTCATTCAGCTATTAAATGCTTTGTTCGTCACTTAATTTTTTTTTTCCCCTAAAGGAAATTTAAAATGTCCAGAGTGTGAAGAGTAACTGTTCAAATGGGTAGCTCACCAGATGGCAGCTTCAGATTTACACCCCAGCATGCAGCAGCCCCAGAGGATGAGGCTCTTTAAGGAAGGTGTTTATCTTGTGGCTGGAATGTGGACAGCAGTGAGGAAATCAATCTGTAGCACATCAGGCTCAGCCATTTTAAGGTATCCGAGGTAACACAGCTGCTTTTTAAAGGCAGAGGTGAACACACAGGAAGGGAAAATCTGGTTTCCTGTTGGGGAAAGGACATACCATTGCCCATGAGTTCAGTGTGGGGGACAGCCCTGCTCCTGTTCTGCTTCCAGCCAGGCAGGAGCAGCCCCACCCACTGGGCAGGGAACTTGCAAAAATAGCCAAATGATCTATCTAGGGAAGTATCACTTATCTTTAGCCTAATTTTAGTCCTTTAATTACCATTTACAGAATGCAAACCAGACCTGTGTCAGTTTAAACTCCTGAAGCAGGAGCTGGAGGTGCAGCTCTTGGGCAGTGCTGGCAGAGTGGGGCTGCCAGACCTTCTCTAGGATTGCCTGGTGATTCTGTGATCCCAAACGAGACTGCTGCACTCTGTAATGCTGGGCTGAGGGAATGGGCTTTGTGTGTGTCTCTGAGAAGTCTTTAATAATATTGGAGCCTCTGAAAATATGCTTGTTTAATGGTTAAACTGTGAATATCTGTGGAACAGGCCAAATACATTCATTCTTCATTTTTATATAATTTAATTCTTCATTGTGTAGGGCACAGGACTGTAAGTGAGCAGTGATGCTGATGAAATCCTTGAAACCATTGCAACTGTTTAGTTTTTTTTAAAAAATAGATTATGCATTAGGAAACTTTATGCATGTAGTGAATCTGCTGCAACTTGGGATAAATAACTATAGATAACTATATAGATAGTTGGAGTAATATACTGGAAAACTGGTCTGGTATCCACAATCTGTGGCATTTTACTGCCTTCTCTTATATGCAAAGAAATACAACTCCTGTAAACTTTAGCCCCTAGTAATAAAACACTGACCACCTACACCACATTATAGCTTGTAACACCTGTAACATTTGGCTTCCAGATCAACTGGAGGCTTAATTGTGCTAATTTTCACTTGTGTGGGTGCATCTCTGAGGTTAAAGACTATCTATTGATTCAAGTAAGGGTTTGAAAGATCCTGGCCATAAAACATGAGTGAGGCAATGACTTGGAATTGAACACCAAATTGTGAGTTTATTTGCTGCTGGTGCTATTCTACATGGAGAATTACAGCGTTTTAGCACTGTGCAATCCTGGTGAAAGGAGCACAGGTGTGGCAGGTGGCACAGACACAGCTGGGGCTGGGAGCTGCTCCCCAGGCTGGCCCAGCAGGATCAGCTCTGAGCCAGGACAGGTCTCAGGCAGGCACAGTCAGAGCGTGGAAGGAGCTCAGGCTGCTCTGCTGGGGCTGAGGGGCTCAGGCTGGTGCAGAGGGTGCAGCCCTGCTCCTGTGGGCAGTGCTGGGGCAGCAGCAGCTCTGCTGGCTGACTTGATTTCGTTATTTCAGTCTGTGTGTCCATCAGAGCCTGGAGAAGCCGTGGATCCAGGACTAGCCTGTCACCTGTGCTTCCCAGGCCTGTGCACTGAGCAGTGACCTTAGACTTTGTGTGACACTGTCAGCATGAGCCTTGTTTCCAAAAAAAGCCCAACAAAGTTAAAGAAACACCATGTAGTTAATAGGCACCTCAGCTGTGGTACAGTTTGTTGGCTGGGGTTACATCATTCCCATTCTTTGGTAAATAATAGTCATTGTGAGTTTCTGGCTCTTGCAGCCTTGCATTCTGCAGTGTGATGCTTTTCTAGAAGGTCCTCAGTAAATTGGGCACCCAGTTCTTCCCTTGAGCCCACTCTGCTCAAAGTATGTGCATGTGAATTTAGCCTTTCATATTAAAAAGGAAGATGCTTAACCTGAAACTCAAAATTCTTCAGGGCAGTGCTTCAATATGGAGAAAAACATATTTTTTCAAATAAGTATTAAAGCAAAGTGTCTGCTTAAATTTTGTTGTGTGCAAACAAACCCACCAGTGTTAACATTTTCTCTCTGGTCTATTGAAGATTGAACCTTTGGTTTTATAGTGTGAACTGAAGTGAAATCCATGAGATTGTAAGACAGAAAGAAGGCTGTAACTCCTTCACCATGAAGTACGTAGGTATCTCTACCTCTTGTTCTTAGACTTGAATAGTTTAAGGCTACCATCCTTTCGTCCCGGGATTTTATGCCTGGATGAGTAATCTATTTTTTTTAATTGACCCAAGTTAAGTATTATCTCTTTGCCATAGTTTTTGGTGTCCTGTGTTTAACCTGTATGCAAAGGACCCTTTGGAAGGGGGCCGGGTCAAGCTGCAAACCAGAGTTGGTCCTCCCGGGTGCTACTTTTGGAGTGCAATAGAGCAGCTGAGCAGAGCTCCGTGCCTGTGGCTCAGGGCTTCTGTCACCACACGTCCTCTTCCCTGGTCAGGCTGCCTGCACTGACAGTGAATTGAAGATGGAGCAGCTGCTCCCCAAGAGGGAGCCATCAGCCTTTTCATTTGCCCTTGAAAAGCTTTAGGAACCCACCTGATGCAGTGCCATGAGTGTATTTTTCTTTTAATCAAAAATACTGTGTTTTGTTCCATGTTGGACTGGACTTGTAACCACCCAGCAAAGATGGGAGCTGCAAAAGTGCAAAGGCCACACGCATCCTTTTTGTCCCTGAGGTCAGAATCCTGCTCAGGATGAAACCCTTGTGCTTGAGTGAAGCTGGAGTGTTCTCAAGAGAACTGGAGATGCCAGAGTGGCTTTGGTGCTCAGCTGTGTTCATTGATGCATTGGGGGTGTTCTTCTGCATGCAACACATCTGTGCCCTTCCTGTCCTCCCCCAGAGCAAACTGCAGCACAGCTCCTGCCACAGCAAATCCCACATCCTGCAATGCTGGGGCAGCTGCTGCTGCAGGATCCCTCCAGTGCTGCTTTGGGGTGTGACCTCTTGCACTATCAGGAGGGGAATCTGTTTCAAGAGAACAGGGGGACATGTGAGACAGCAGGTAAAAAGAGCATGTGTGTTCTTGTCCTAACAGCTTGCCTTAAATCACTGACATTGCAGCAGTTCCTTGCTACTATTGCAATCCTCAGTCTCTGAAAATCCAACAGGTTCTCTAGGTAATACTGTTTTTTGTTTGATTTTTAATAAGTTTCTATCTTTGCATAATTGCACTCTTCAGATAAGCCCTTTTTGGATAATGTGTCATTTCACACACAGGAAAAAAGTCCATCTCCAGTGTTTGTGGTGTAGTGTTTCTTTTTATGCCCTGTAAATTATATCTGGACTAAAGGTTGCCTACTGTTGAAGCAGTGTGTTTACTTGAATGTTGCCATTTGATGCAGTTACAGCTGCTGACTCTTGCTCTTCTCTGGGCCTGTGAGAGTGGAGATTGTGTGACCAGAGCTGGCAAACCTGCACAGAGGATCAGTGGAGCTGCAGGCTGGCTGCTGCTCCCAAGAGTGTTACAGTTAAAGGACTTCACAGATCAGTGCTCCCTATTTGGAAGTTGTGACTTCTTTAGTCATGCTAAACAAAGCTATTTGAAAATACACTTGTGTAAGTTTGAAATAGTCTTTTAAAAGGAGATGGGCTGGCAGGAGGGTTGGAGGGCCTCGTGCTGTAAGTTGTTGAGTAACTCAAGTTCCAGGAGCCATGGATGGCACTGGCAGGGCTCTGTCCTGAGCCAGCACTGCTGGGGTTTGCACTGCCTGGTCTTGAGGGCATGAAGCAACCACAAGGCCTTGACGGGCTCTGTGGAGAAGGGTCAGCCTGGGAGCACTGCTTGGTGCAGCCTTGTTCTTTCTTGTGCATCTTGAGGCCCCAGCTGAGCCTCAAGTCCCTCTCTGTGGAAGGAATGTGTGTTGGTAGTGTTTGCTCCCAGCGAGGTAACTCAGTGTGACTGGGGAAGTACCAGGGGCTTTGTGTGCTGTGTGAGCACAGCTCCTGCTGGGCCTCTGGGCTGCTCAGCAATCCAGCCAGGGTGGGCAGGGTCACATCTGCTGCTCTTTGTGCCCGGGAGAGTTTTGCCTTTTCAGACTTAGCCAAGAGATCACCCTGTATGAGCCAGTTTTCTCTCTGGGAAATGATGAATGTGTTGCATGTCACAGCAGCCCCGTGGTTCCTCTTTGGGACGGCAGTATCAGAAGTGCTGTGTAAATGTAATGCTTGAAAACAGCTGGAGTAAATTCTGTTTCATGTAGGATCTTTATTCCAAGGGGATGCAGCCAAATTTGAAACCTCATCTAGAGGAAAATTGGGAGAATTCCAGGGCAATGCATCTGCTGAATCCCAGTGTACTGAACTGGTTTGTAGTTTTACAGTTACCTTTTTACATCAAATTTTCTCACCGTCGGTGTCTGGAACAGAATGGAAACAGCATCTTATGGAATGTGCAATCTAAGGCACAATGCAAATAGGGTGTGATAAGAAGGTTGTCTTTACTTGATAGCAATCCTGAGTGCAATGTTTTTGTTGTGTCCCTTTTGGAAGAGCATTAAGTACAGTCTGAGGTTTTTCTTTTCTTACAAGCAAAGCATTGGTTTGTCCATTACTGACTTCTTGTGAAATTTGTGCCAGATGTATATTAAATATTTTGGTGCTTTTTCTAATCCAAGCTGCCATTCATTTACCTGTGAGATTATTGTACTTCTGTATATTTAAATGACCAACCCCTTAAAGAAAAAAAAAAAACAACAAAAAAAATCCTTTAGTCACAATGTATCCTGACTACTGTAGCCTGTAAATGTTCCAAAGCTTCTGGGTTTCCTGTATTCCAGAAAGGTCAGAGGGGAGGGGAACAGCTACAGAAATCTCACCCACCGGGAGGGAACTCGCACGCTGTTCTGTGCGTTACTGAACAAACCAGTAACATTTGTGGTGTTTACATAAAGACACATTGGTGTTCACTTTTTTTGTGCTCAAGCTTTGTACAAAATGTCTTATTTAAAGCTGAAGTCCTTTTTACATTTTTCAATTAAAAAGGGACAAATTACTTATTTTTTCATGCCTGTGAGTAGGACTCTTGCTGGTTTTATTTGTCATGTCCGTTTCTCCAGCAGGATCCTGGATGCTCATAAGTCCTGGCAGAGAGGTGACCACAAAATTTTTAAGTGTGTGGAAGGAAAACTGGCTGGTTTTTATTCAACTTTGCAGTGCAAGTGTCTGCAGCAAGGAGGTGCTGGATGTGAACAGCTTGAACAGGAGTGAATCCATAGAGGGATGAGTGCTGGGGTCAGTTTGCCTGAGCTGCCCCCCTGCCCAGTCTCTGCTGGCACTGGCTCCCCTTCACACTCTGTAGCAGCACTGATGTTATTGTTTATGCCAGCTTGCAGTAGCTGCAGCCAAAGGAATGCCAGGCTCACCTGAAGTGGCCAAAGTACCTTGGTGTGAGAAAAAATGGGCTGCATTCATTGTGCTGAATAATAGATATAATTTTCAGGTGGGTTTAAATTTAGTTATTAATGACACTGACATGAGCATCTCCTGCCTGCTCACTGCTGCTCCTGGGCTTTCTCCTGCTTTCCTGTATTTGTGCTCCTCCTCCATACAGCAACTCCCAACTTCCAAATCCCAAGATAATGAGAGAACCCAGCCCAGCCCAGTGAATTTGGGGTTGGGAACTAGGAGGGTGTAAATATTCCATCAGCTTATTTGATAATTTCTGGAATGGTAACTATTTCAGCTTTATCTTGGCCTATTCCAATTCACATGAAAAAATCCCTCATCTCATGGTGAAACCTTTTAACAAACATTTCCTTTTAATTTTTCAGGGTTTTTTTCCCTGAGTGCCTAAAACTCTCCTAAGCATCTTTGTGCTTGGAACTTCTGTATGTTAACAAGAGATGCTCAAGCAGCCTCTATTTCAAGTGGCAGTGGCTGCATAGGAGAGGCTGCAAATCCCCTCATCCTGCTTCCAGCTCCCTGTGGAGAGCAATGCTGTGCAAAGTGCACACAGCCATGTGCTTTCCTTGAACATCCCTTGCCCCTCCCACAGCCACGAGGAAATTCTTGTGAGGGGAGGGTGGGGGTGGTCAGGGCGGGAGGAGAAAGTGGAGACTGTCCAGGAAGGATGAATCACTGGTTCCTCCTCTCCATGGACTGAGTACAGCACTTTCCCAGAAAGGAGGCAGCGACTCCAGGAGCTGGCACTGCACAGTTCCAGCAATGCAGGCAGCTCCTGGGCTGGCTGTTAACTGCTGAGCAGCAGCTGCAGCCTCTGCCCTGCCCTGCCTGCTCATGGCCTGGATGCTCCAGGGGAGATCCCCAGCTGGCACCTTGGCAGCAGCAGGGAGTGACACCCACAGGCCAGTCCTGCCCAGCACCTGCCTGGCCCGACCTTCCCACAGCAGGAAGGGTTAATGGAAAAGGGTTTGTGCTTTAAGACTCTTTGAATGGCTTTTATTTTTAGACATTTTAGAAGATACAGAGTGAAAGCCTATTGTTCTTATGGTAAGAGATCTTTACAAAGACATCAATATTTAAAGTAATTAAAAATATCTTAACAAAAGACTTTGCTTAAAAACTTGGCAGTTTAACAAGCACTCCTCCCTTCATCTTTTATTCCCATCAGACCAAGGCCGGGTTGTGATCCCTGTGTGCTGCAACACAAACAAGAGCTGTGTTAGTTCTGCTCAGTGCAGCCTTCATGCACACAGCTCTGCTGGGCTGGCAGTGAGGGCTGCAACCCCCCAGGTCAGCGCATTGAAAAATTAACTCTTTTTCCACCCCACAATCATTTGTCATCCTTTTTAATCAAGCCTCCTCTGAACTGTTGGTCCTCAGGGAAACAGTAATATAGGAACCTCACACTTGGCAAGAAATCTCTTCCCAGCCTGAGCTGGAGCTCCCATCCAACCCACTCAGCAGCCTGAGAGTGAGAGCCAAGCCCTGTGGGCTCCCACAGCCTCCCTGTGCAGGCAGATTCCTGAATCCACCTGTTCTGCTGGTGGGATTCCTACCCCTTGGTGATGGAAGATTGTGCTAAGCAAGAATAGTTGGAAATGGCCCTTGAAAAGTAAATTGGACGTGCTGAGCCCAGTGACTCTGCAAAGGACACCTGGTATGGACTGAACTCGCAGCCCTCCCTGCCTTAAACCTTCCTGTGGGGTGACAGGTGAGTGTGCAGGGTACCTGAGGTGATACAGGGTGTAGAGAGGCAAATGATTGCTCAGAAATGCACAACCAGATGCAGTTTTAGCCCAAAGAAGGCAGCAGAAAGGTAATGTGACCTTTATTAGGCTGACCAGTGACAGTGAGAGCACAGAAGGCTGCTGAAGTGAGCATGTCCTCAGCAACCAGGGCTTTGCTTAGGAAAGATTGAACCTTTCTGGTTGATAATTAATCAGTGAGACACTGGCAGCTCAGGCCCAGGGGCTGAAATGCAGGAAGCCCACTCCAGGGAAGGATCCCTGATACCTGCAGTGCTGCAGCCCAACTCAAATTCACAACTTGCTCCTTCCTACAAAAGCTAAAGGACTCTGAACAAATTTGGGTTTTCTCATTTTTGTCCATCACATGAGGACAAGGGCATGAAGCACCTCTTTGATCAGCTGTGGCTGCAGCACAGGGTGGGGAACCACAACACAACAACTGGCAGGTGAGGCCCTGGCTGCAGTAATTTGGTGGTTTTAGAAACCAAACACCCCAAAAACTCCTGTCTGCTGTGGAAACTCTGCTTGATTCTCTCATGGCCACACAGAACTTATCTCACTGTCAATGGGGAGGAACCATCCTCTGGGGGAGGTGGGGGAGCTGATAAGATCTGTACAATTAATCAGCTCTGGACCCTCAGATCCATCAGCTGTGACTCAGGCCTGCTTTGTGGGCAGAACTTAGGGCTGAGGTTTTATTGGCCAAACATGAAAGTCAGATTAAGCACAACAGCTTCTTCAGCCTTTCTCTTCGGCTTTCTCTTCCTTGTGCAGGGCTTTAATTTTTAATAGATTAAGATAAAAATATTCAGCTCTGTATTTTCCTTGGTTTTTTTGCAAAATAGGTAGCAAATTACCTGTTCACTCCAGGAAAGAGAACAACACACAGGCTGTTATTCTGCAGGCTCCTATAAAGCTTTTTGATATTCTGGTCTAACTTCTTCACCTTTTTCCTTAGATTCTGCTCCTGCATAAGCAAACAGAAGCATTGAAGTCCCCCACTGATCAGCAGTTATCCTTCAGAGTGTGTGGGGCTGGCACAGGGAGGGCAGCAGTGATGCTGCTCCTGCCTGGCACTTGGCAGTGCAGCTGCAGGAGAAGCACAGGCCCTGCTCAAATGGGAGCTGCCCCTCCAGAGCTCTCAGCCAGAGCTCTGGTTTCCTGTGCAGCCCACAGGCACTCACCCCTCCCTGTGCCCCCTGTGCCCTGTGAGCTCTCCAGTGCCAGGTTTCAGTTCCTGGGCAGCAGCACCCCCTGCCCTGTGCACTAGGCTGGTTTCACTGTTATGCAGTGCCCTGCCAACATCACGTTATCTCTCTCAAGCTGCTCTGTGGGAACTGATCCTTGGCAGCTCCTTTGCTCCAGCACAAGGACACCCTTCTGTCACGAGGAGCTCTGCACCTCAGTCAGCTCAAAGTTACCTCTGCAGGTTCCCAGGGCAGTCCCTCCTCACTAACTGCAACGAACACCAGCAGAGCCTCACACTCACAGAGTCAGACAGCTGCTCCATTTGCTCATAGAAGATGTGTTTTCCTTGATTGTCACTGCTGTGATTCATTTGCCAAATCCATTTCCAGAGGTGACCTGGAGCAAGGGCTTTCCTACTTCTTAACTCACTACCCTTCATGGTCCATCCATTTATGGCTTCAAGGGCACTCAGAGCACTCTGGGTTTTCTGGAATTCTGAAATGCAAAGAGAAGGGAACATGCTTTGGTTGCTGCCCTCGTTGGCAGCTGCAAGGCAGGGCTAAAGGTGTGGAGCACGAGGGAGATGAGAAACAAATCACTGCAGCAGGCAGATCCTCATCTTGCTACAGATACACATCAGACTAGAAATGCCAGCTGGCTGCAGCAGCACCCACTGAGCTGTTCTCACCTTGCAGAGGAGATTCCTGGGCTGTGTGAAGCTGCACAGCAGCCACCCCTCACATGGGAGTACTGGAGCCCCATTAGTTACCCTGGAATTTTCTAAGTAAATGTTTGGGGTTTTTTTAAACAGGTGGTTTTTCCTCTTAAATATTTAGCTGTAAAGTGCTCCTCCAAACAATATGTGCTTCTACTGGAGCATTTTAAATATTTTAAATATCATCCCTTGAGCCTAGCTGGGTTTCAGTAGCTCTTGCTGTGTCTGTGCAAAGTCCCAAGGGCTGCTGAATATTATTTGAAGGAAATATGCAGGCTGTGTGTGAAGCTACTTACTGAGAAAGCAGCAGCTCCTGTGCTTTCCACTCTGAAGATCCTTTGGCAGGAACAATGCTTCCAGGTGCTTCAACTGGCCGAATTCTTCTTGCAACTCTGTCTCTGTTAGTGACTTCTTTAGACCAGCCACATAAATCACACCTTGATTTTCTACATCCAGTTCTAATTCCTTAATCAGAACATTGCAGTCCAGCATTGCTGCAGTGACTGGTCTCTGGACCTGGGGTGGATGCAGCAGGAATAAAAAGCATGTCAGCCCACACTGCTCTGTGTTCTGAGCTTCTATTTTGAAGTATTTTTCTCCCATTGCCAAAAGCAGACAGGTTCTTTTTCATCACTTGAAATAAATATGACTAATGAAGGCCAACTTAATTAGTCATGATAAAGGGAGATCCTATTTGTAATGCAGAAAAACTATAAAAGTAAAATGCCATGCTCTGTTATAGCCCTGTTACTTGGATCTGCCTTTTCAAGCTGGGGGTCAGAACTCTTTCTCACTCCCTTCTGCTGACAGGCAGAAAGGAAAAACAAGAGGGATCCAGGCACTTCCTTTCTGCCAGGGGCCCTGAATTGAGCAGGGACAGGGGGACTGTAACAGCACAAGCACTTGCCCGGACACACTGCTGTGATGTTTCAGATGCAC